CCCCAAAACCCCAAAACCCCAAAACCCCAAGGTTCAAAATTAGCTGGAATAGTTAGATTAAAGTATAAATTATATCGAGTATTTTTAATAAAAGGTAATTATTTTTAGTTAAATAAATAATCAGTAGCTATAGCAGAGGACCTTATCTGGGATATTATTTGCAAAGGCTTAAAGATTTAAAATTATTAAGAATACTTAAAGAAATCTGAAATAAACAGCCTGATGATATAAGCTAAGCAGAAACAGTCATCATAACAATTTATCGATAAAAAAAGGGTGATGGTCAAGAAAAGATGCAGCTAATTGATTAGGAACGTTGATATGTATGGGTAAACATTTTAGCTAACCTTCAAAGGTGACAAGTAATAACTAAGAATCATTAAGTTTATTATAGGCAATATAAAACAAAGTTTGGAGGGTTCATTTCGACAATGGTGCTTTTCTCTATTATAGCTTTTGCAATTTTCAAGTTGAATGTTATGATAAGTAATTATTTAAGACTAATGAAATTAGTGAAATCTGACAGCAAGACAAGCAAAAATACCATTTTCAAACAGGAATATATCGACCCTGAGATCGTCTAACTTAGGTATAATATTATTTTCTCTAAATGTACTTTTTTCAATAGTTAAAACAAATTTGATGTTGCTTTTACTACAAACTAGCCGCTAAAACCTGAATTCGGAGAAATCCAAGTATTCTTCGATAATTAAACTAGAGTTTACAATTCAACTACTCAGAAATTAAGTATGACGCTATATTTTATAAACCCAATAATAGCGACTACTCTCATATCCACTAAGTTAGACCTAGTCCTTTGCGGGACCTAGCATTTCCTTTACCAGGACTTAGAAGAAGTAATTTTCAAAGGAATAGACAAGTTCTTGTGCATCAAGGATAAATCTTTCCTTAAAACTGGAGGAGCTTTTCAGAGTAATATATATCAATACGTAAGAGTGTATTTGGTTCCATGTTGAAATGAGACATTTATTCCCTATATTAATGCTTCTACCTGTGTTTCTACCGAAGACTAAGAGAAATTCTTTAATACAGTTGATTTCTAAGTCAGATATGTAAACTAATACTTTGACTCAAATGATTTTGAGTAACCTATTAAGGCATATATTGAAGATAGGTTATACCTCCCATTAGAATATTATACCAAAAAGGGGGCAGACATATTTGTCAAAAGAAATATTGCAATATTATAAGATAGTCTTATTCCATTTAACCCAATTAAGAATCTTACTTTTTTGCAAACAGAAAATATCAAGTTCTTTCAAGCTGATAAAAATAGAAGAGGCTTCTCAATCTTACATTTAAATATTAGAATCGATTTTTAATACGACATCTATGAGAGATCTATTTATTCTTTTTCATCCCTTTTGTCTGATATCGGGGGTATCTATAATGCTCTATTTCTCTTTGGTTATATACTAGCATTTCACACTGGCTCCAAGATATTTTACGCTCGACTTATTCGAGAAATATTTTAAGCCACAGAGTCTAAATAAGATAAATTCAGAAAAAAATAATGGCAGCTAGAAAAGCCTAAGAATTAAGATATGTCATTAGTTGAGAACAGTTTAGAAAAGGATAAAGAGAATACCAAATGATTAAATGATGATCAAAATGAATCTAAAAGAGGAATGCTCGACTCTATAAATCAGATTTAAAGAAAGCCTAAGAAATTTGTGCAAGTCATTAAAGCTTAGTCAGATGACAAAATGATAAACCAAACGTCAAATATCAAAGTCTTAAATGCCTCATTTTAAGATGTCAAGCAAATTTCCTATTTATCTCTGAAAAACCAACAATAGACAAAATAGAGAACTTATCAAGATAAAATCAAAGTACAAATAAACAAGATCCTATTTGAGATTTAAAGTAGAATAAACTTCAAGTATACATTTTCAGATGTTTTGTCAGGAATCTTTTGTTGTCTAAAAAGATTTTATGATCCAAAAGGCCACTAGTAGAGAAGGCATTTAAAGTCAAATCCTTATATCAAGCTTTTGACTTTGTGAAAAATCAAAAAGACATTGAGTGTTTATGTTGATAGCGGGAGACATTTAAACAAAATTGATTAGCAGCTGTTTAGAGGTACAACTCAAAAGAAATTAAAACTCCCATAATAGTATAGACCAAAAAGTTTGATTGATAGATTAAAAGCTTAAGACATAAACATTTTACCTCCAATAAACTCTCATAGGAACAGTAAATTCTCTGAAAATGATATCACTTAAAAGATTAATTATCTAATTGATTAAGTAGAAGAAAAGCATAGTGCCAAAGGTAAAGATAAACATAGCAATGAGATACAAATTTCTGAAAATAATGACTTGTATAAACAAGTACTTCAGAAAAATAAAGAAGAGAAATTAATTCCAAAAAATCATCTCTCATTATTCAAGTAAAAGCAAATTAGGAGTGAGTTTTTAGACACTGAATGATGAAGATGAATCCAACTTATAATAGAATTATTCCATTAAATGTAATGGCAGAGATTATTACTGCTTTTGCTTACTTAATTTGAGGAATATTTTTAAAGGATTTGATATATCATTTTAATTAGAGATAAGTATCAAGATTTATTCATCATTCGAAAATTGTAGTGATTCATTACTTAAGGGGTTTTGGGGTTTTGGGGTTTTGGGG